CCTTTACTATTACTGCAATTAATTTTCATTTATTCACTAACTACACTCTCTTCGCTTAAGTCCAAGTTTGTATTAAATTTACTCACTCACTGGCCCCAAAGGCAGGAAATAGCATTCGAAGGCTCTAATTGAATGAAATGCTCGAATGAGATTCGGGCTCATTGCTAATTTATATGACAATGCACGACTCGCAGCTCAGCTGGTAAAATGTTGAATATCTGTGGCTCATTGGCATGCAGAGCCTGTGAAAAACTTGGCAATTGTGGTGGCCCACTTGGTGCTAAGGCGCAGAGAAGCTCAGACAATGCCAAGGTGAGGGCAGACACATACTCAATGAGAGAGATAGAGAGAGGGAGTGAGAGAGGGAGAGAGAGTGTGGAGCGGGTCATACACATTCATGCGCGAACTAAGCAAAGTCTAGCTAAAGTTAGACGTCTGTCAGACGCGGCTGTCTTTGGGCTTTGCCTGCCTCAACGTGTTTGGCCCGGCGCTCGGCAACAACGAGTTGCCGCCTGGCTGGCTAAACTTTTAATCAGCATGAAAAAGTTACGTCCTGCTCGCGCAATTATTGCCAAATTTGAGCGCCAACAAAAACATAATCAAGTTAATTGCATAAAGAATGCTATGCAAAGGCTTTCAAGAGCAGAGCAAAACAAAACGAAACAAAAACAAAAACAAAATGAATAAACGGCGCCAAGTTTATTGTACTGCCGTCTACTATATATAGCCGTGTACACACATACGTATATACATATATGTATGTATATGTGTATATATCCACTTGTGTGTTGACGCTTTATGCTGCCAACTAATATGGCTTATTGTTGCTGGTGTTACTTGGCTTGTTGTAATACAATCAATTTCCGCTTTTGTTTGTCAAGAAAAGTTGCCAACGAGAAAATTTTGTGTTGTTGCGACTTTATGTTGTTTTTCTTTGCTCGTTTTTTGTTCTTTTATTGTCGGTTATATTTTTATGAAGCGGAAGCAACAGCTCAGCTGCCAGTGCTGTTCAAACATGACGTATACGTAATATGCTGCGCCACACCAAAACAATTTATATTGATTGGCTGACATTGGTGCGGATGTTGGATGTTAGGATATACCCTTATATATATAAGTACACACTTTTTAATTAAATTGCCTCTCCCCATATATAATGCGCAATATCCATTATCATCTCTGTGCTGAGCAATATAGAGCAATTTTATTGGTCCAAGTGCCTGGGGGCATCGTTTGAGATATGTGTATGTGTGGTGTGGCATTGGCTTTGTGCAATTAGCTTTTGTATTATGTGTGCTTGATTAAGGCAAGCAGGGAATGCTTTGCGCAATACACACACAAACACACACACACACACGCACTCATGCACATTCATATTCAAGTAGGTCGACATAAATTTGATAGCACTCGAGACTTTGTCTTTGTTTTTGTTTGCTGCGTGTAGCCTGCCGCAGAAAAAAGAAAAGTTCGTCGGAATAAATTATGCATTTATCATTATTAGAAGAGTGAGAGAGAGAGAAAGAGAGAGAGAGAGAGATAAGTGCCATGTCCCATTTATATCACTTTATTTTTAGCATCTAGCTGATATGAAAGGCCAAGTAAAAACTCAAATGTTTCGCTTTATTATACCCTGAACCCATTGAAAATGGGAAATCAGGGTATAATGGTTTTGTT